TCATTAGTGTTTAATGAGTCAAATCTATTCTTGAGATGGTCTCTAAATTCAGGAGGGGTATATTCAAGGCCATACTTTGGCTCTCGTAGACTTGTTCTAATTTTCTTCAGCTTCAACTTGAACTTGCATATGAGCAATTGACTGTCTGTTCCACAGTCGGCCACTGGCCTTGTTCTGACTGATGATACTGAGCTTTTCCATCGTCTCTTTCCACAGATGTAGTCAGTTTGAATCCTTTGTATTCCATCTGGCAAGGTCCACATGTAGAGTCACCGTTTATTTTGTTGAAAAAAGGTATTTGCAATGAAGAAGTTGTTGGTCTTGTAAAATTCTATCACACGATCTCTGGCGTCATTTCTATCACCAAGGCCATATTTTCCAACTATTGTTCCTTCTTTAATTATCAATGCATCTTGATTGCATGTGTGATCAATTTCAGACTTCAGAAGTTGGCAAAAATCTTCAATTTCCTCATTTTGGCATGTGGCTAGTGTGTAAGTTTGAATAATAGTTGTATTAACTGGTCTTCCTTGCAGGCGTATGGATATTATCCAATCCTGACAGCGTTGTACTTCAGGGTACATCTTGAAATGTTCTTTTTGACAATGAATGTAATGCGTTCCTCTTCAAGTTGGCATTCCCAGCATAGACCATATGATTGTCTGATTAAAAATGGCCAATACCAGTCCATTTCAGCTAATGCCTGAGATATCGATGTGCATGTGTTCCATTTCATTTTTGACGATTTCCAATTTTCCTAGATTCATACTTTGTACATTCCACATTCCAATTATTAATGGATGTTTGTAGCTGTTTCTTCTCATTTTGAGTTGTGTCACATCAGCAAATGAAGGTCCCAAAAGCTTGACTCCAACCACGTCATTAAGGTCGACTCTACTTTGAGGAGGCAGCTCTTCCCCAGCCGTATTGTGAGTGTCTTCCAACCTGAGGGGCTCATCTCCTGGCACTATATCAGACGATGTTCTACTGCTATTTATAAGGTTTTCACCAGCTGATTTTTTCTGAAGTAGACCTCCAGGTCCTTCTTCCTAGTCTGTCTTAGTCTGGAAGCGCTGCTGAAACCTGTCCACCATGGGTGACCCTGCTGATATTTGAAGTACTGGTGGCGTAGCTTCTAACATCTCAGCAACACACAAGCCACCAGAGCAGGACAGACTGACAGACGTGTGGGGTTAAAATACAGAGAGAGAATTAACATACAAGAAAAGCATATCAATTGGAGGGTGAAATTAAATGTTTTAAGGTTTTTATTTTCCAAGAATAGGTCAACGCACTGATTTTTATTAGACTTTTATAAGTCAAGGGTGCATGTTATAATTTCCAGGGTAACCACTAAAAGAATATAAAAGACAGTATAACTCAGCTAAAAAGAGGTGGATTTAAAAAATATACCAATGCAGAAGATTAGAAATGAGAGGAAAAGAACATGGAAACACGATAAAAAGAAATCAAAATCAACTAGTAAGATAGTAGATTTAAAGCCAAATATACCGGCAATCACATTAAACGTAACAGGACTACTTTTCATAAAAGTAAATTATGCTTATAGAAAAAAAAAAGAAAAACGTACAGAAGGGTGTAAACAGTGAAGTCAAATGTCACCCAACTGCCCAATCCCATTACTAGGGACAACTACTATTAATGGTTTCTTATGTACTTTCTTTGGAACCCCGGTGGTGTAGTGGTTAAGAGCTATGGCTGCTAAGCAAAAGGTCAGCAGTTCAAATCCATCAGCTCCTTCTTGGAAACCCTCGGGGGCAGTTCTACTCTATCTGTAGGGTTTCTATGAGTCACAATGGACTCGATGACAATGGTTTTTTTGGTTTTATGTACTTTCCTCAGATTTCTTTGTGCACTTTAAGCATATAATGCGTTCTCTTTAAAATACACGCACACAAGTTGGTACAGTCATTGTGGAAAACAGTCTGGTGGTTCCTCAAAAAGTCTAACATAGAACTATCATGTTGTTAGGTGCTGCCAAGTAGATTTCAACGCATAGCGATCCCATGTGACAGAGTAAAACTGCCCCCAGAGGGTTTTCTAGACTGTAATCAGTAAGGGAGCAGATTGCCAGGTCTTTCTCTCACAGAGCTGCTGTGTGGATTTGAACCACAAACCTTTTGGTTAGCAGCCATATGACCCAGCAATTCCACTCTTAGGTATATGCCCAAAAGACCTGAAAACAGCAACGCGAACAGACATATGTACACCAGTGTTCACTGTAGCGTTATTTACTATATCCAAAACGTGGAAACAACCAAAATGGCCATAGACTGGTGAGTGGATAAACAAGATGTGGTCCAGCCACACAATGGAATATTACTCAGCCATAAAGACGATAAAGTCCTGACGCATGCCACAACATGGTTGAACCTAGAGGAGATTATTCTGAGCTAAATGAGTTACACACAAAAGGGCAAATACTGTATGAGATCACTTACATGAAAGTAGCTATTATGTAGAAACCATAAGTAACTAGTGATTACGAGGGGCGGGAGGGAGGGCGAACGCGGGGGTATTTACTGAGAACAAATTGAATGAATGTTAATGGTGGTGGGATCATTTGGAAGAAGATAGAATGGTTGTACAACTTGAAGGCTGTAATCAATGTCCCTGAAGTGTATATGCAGTAATTGATGAGCTACAGTATGTTTTGCTATATATATTTTTGCTATAATAAAAAACACACACACACAAATGCACAAATGCATTCAGCAACCTTTTTTCTACCTAACCGTATATACATAAACTTCAAGTTTCACGAAACAATACTTACCCTTAATACATCTGAAGTCTTTTGATATTTTTGATTCTATGGTTTCTGTGTTCTTCTATTCTGTTTCATTTAAGAACGCTAGTCAAGGCCCCCTGAAATGACTTCATAATTTATCCATGGGTTAACCTTAGGGAGGAGGAGGTGCCTTGGAAGAAAGTCCTGGCAATCTGCTCCCAAAAGGTTACAGCCTTGAAAACCTAATATGGGAGCAGTTCTACTCTGCACACACGGGGTTACCACCAGTCGGAATCAACCCAATGGCAACTAACAACAGTGCTGTTGCTTTTCCTTTTGATTTCCCTCATTTTTTCCCCCTTTGGTTGCCTTGGAGTCTCTGGGTGGTATAAACAGTTAACATGCTAGGCTGCTAACCAGAAAGGTGGGAGGTTCGAGTCCACCCAGAGATGCCTTGGAAGAAAGGTCTGGTGATCTGCTTCCGAAAAATGAGCCATTGAAAACCGTATGGAGCACGCAGTTCTACTCTGATACACAGGGGGTCACCACAAATCAGAATCCACCCGCCAGCAACTAGTAACAACAACAAGCCTTTGCCTCAGGCTCTGCGTTCTGGAGAATCTAGGATAAGACAGGCCTCCTTGGCACAAAAATCGCCAAACACCTGGCTCTGGATTACTCTTGGCTCCTGCTGCCCAGAAGGATGCAGTGACCTCCTCGTCTTCCTCCCTCCTCCCTCCTCCGTTTCTCTGCCACTTGGCCCTCTGAATTTGTCCCATGATGCTACTTTCGTTTTTCTCTTCATCCACCCACCTCTGACTTCCTGCAGTTACAAATACCAGAGAAAAGCCTTCTATTTTTGGAAGCAGTTTCTTTGAGGTCCCTTGCTGCATAGCACTGCTCCGGGCTATCACAGAATTTCCTGAGCCAGAGATAAAACCCTTCTCTTCCCGGGCTTCATAACCCCTCATCCTCTTGGGGCGGTTTCTTAACAGTGTTTTCTGGTAAAAGCAGACAGTCTATTCTATTACCCTCCAGCTTTGCCTCCCCTCTCAGCACCTCGTCCACGAGGGCTTTCTCGGGTTTTCTCGACAACCATCTTGTTTCACATCAAACAAGAATCTCCCGTCAGTCCCTCGCCCCACACCCCGCGGTTGGCACTGACCCTCAGCAGGGGTCTTGAATCTTTATCCCTGCCTCCATCCCTGTCTCTGCCACTATCCAAGGCCTCAGAAGTCTGGGAGGCTACGCAGGGTTGGGGTGAAGCATCCTGGCTCTGGAGTGAAGTAGATGTAGGTTGGAATCCCAGCTCTGCCACTTATTAGCTGTGGGACTTGAACAGGTCACTATAAACTTCTGTTCCTTGGTTTCCTCCTTCGTAGCCGGGGATGGTAACACTGAGTAGGTATCTCACAGTGTGAAGGCTGAATGTGAGCACTTAGCACAACGTAAGCACTCGATGGATATTTAAAAGGACCAGTTGCCAAGTCGAGTAGGATCCAACCCATGGCGACCCCATGTATGTCAGAGTAGAACTGTGCACCATAGGGTTTTCAACGGCTGATTTTTTGGAAGTAGATTGCCAGGGCTTTCTTCTGAGGCACTTCTAGGTAGACCGAAACCTCCAACTTTTTGGTTAGCAGCTGAGTGCATTAACTATTTGCACCACCCAGGGACTCCACATACAGTATCAAACCCATAGCCATCGAGTCGATTTTGACTCATACTGACCCTGTAGGACAGAGCAGAACTGCCCCATAGGGTTTCTAAGGCTGCAATCTTTACGGAAGTGGACTGTCACATCTTTCTTCAGCGGAGCAGCTGGTGGGTTTGAACCCCCAACCTTTTGGTTAGCAGCCAAGCACTAAACAATTGCGCCACCAGATGCTCAATGTATGTTTCCCATTATCAGCGTCATTATCATTAACCTTGACCTCATGCCACCTACCTTAGGGAATAACGCTTCCTACCCCAGGCCTCTCACCCACTAGGAGCTGCCCTTCGACCATGCCCAGCCAGACCCTGACCTCCCGGCCCCTGCCTCTCCTGCCACAGGGGGACCCCGGGAAGAGCCCTTCTTGGACCTGCTCTCACCCTCACCCTCCTCCCAACCTTCACCCATTCACAGCAGCCACCCACCCCAGAAAGCCCGACTCGGAAGCATCCCCATCACGGACCCTACTGCGTGGCCGCTGCAGAGGGGAGGGGAGGAGGAGGCGCAGGAGGCCCGTGCAAACCATCACCGTACCTGGAGCTGCCCCATCGCCAAGGGATGCACAGGGGAGAGAGGAGAGAGCAGGTTAGTCACCTGGTCAGCAGACAGGGCCCCACGTGGCAGCTCTTCTCTGGGGACCCCCAGCCCTGAAGATGGGGTTCTAACCCCAAAGATTCTGCCTTCTCCATTTCTCGTCCCACAGCACCTGGAAGCCCAGCCTAACCCACTCGCCAGGCTCACATGCTAACTAACTTGTTCCTAGGGAGGATGCAGGGTCTGGTCCTCGACAAAGTGACATTTGAGTTGATTACGAGTTTGGGGGCTGAGCTTGAGGGGTGGGGGCGAATAGTCAGCCCCGAGGCTGGGTGTCTCTCCATGGCAGTTAAGGACTTTTTTTCTGAATGAAGAATGGGGACCATTATCCACCATCCAGTGCTGGGGGGAGGGGGACACATGGAGCCGAGTCTGGGGAGCAGGAGCTGAGCACCGGGTGGCCCGAGCTGGCCGGCCTCACCTTCCAGATGCTCGGCTCCTTGCCGTACACCACGGCCATGTTGCTGGCTTTGCCGCTTCTGACGAGCTGCTTCTCTGTCTCGTTGAGCTCCTCAGACACAAAGCCCATGAAGGAGTTGTCCGGCGTGTGAGCTGCAGCCCGAGCCCAGGGACAGGGAGGGTTACCAAGCAGCAGGGCACACGAGTCTCCTGGACCAGCCCGTGGGGGCCCTCCATTGGCAGGGATGGAGAAGGGGGGGTTCTGACGGGGTGACAGTGCCCCGAGTGCTTGGCCCCCAGCAGCTGCCTTTCCCAGAGACTATCACAAAACTTTGGAGTGGAAGGAAACCTGAGCGCATCTGGTCCCCTGACTGGTTTTTAGATGAGGAAACTGAGGCACAGGACAGGTACAGCGAAGGGCCATCGGATCCACCAGGGCCCTGATCACATCACTAGCCCCTCCTCCAGGCTGGTCAGTCGCTCAGGCCCAAAGCTGTGGCGCCAGCTTTGGCTCCTCCCTTTTCCCTCACTCCACACCAATCCTTCGGCAGAGCTGTTCTCCCAGACGGGTTTCTCGTGTCACTTCCACCACTGCCACCTGGTCCAGGCTACCATCACTGCTCTCCGGGGCGGCTGGGACGGCCACTCCGCTGCCTCCGCACTTTCTACGGAGTCTCTTCTCCAGAACAATCCTTTCAGACTGAGGTCAGACCAGGTTTCCCCAGAAGCCAAAGGCCCCACAACCATCTACAAGGCCCTGCAGGACCAGCCCCCTTCCCCGGGCTGCATCTCTTACCCTTCCTCCATCCTTCCCT